AACATCATCATTTAATTATAATCTAATCCCCATCACTTATTTTTATCCACACTATAAATAGAGCAGAGTTAAGGAAATGAGACTTCCAGACCTAAATTCCAATTCCAATTGGAGTCACCCCCTATCTTTTGCCCACTGTGATTTCTACTTTTCCTGCAAATTCAAGAGTGATAGTACAAAGCAATCAAGAGGTGACTAACTGGCAAATGATTCTGCTAAATGAGAGAAGACAAAACTGGACTCACCCAGTTGAACAGAATTTGGATGCTTCTCGTCTGATCTTGTTCCTGCTTCGGCCTCTCCCCCCACCCCAACCCTACCTCTACACCACCTCCCATTTGGCACGGGCAACCCCATCTGCTGACAGCTGTCATGTTTGATCCCTAGCTGCCTTCCCCATCCCTCCCTGTGAAATAGGGAAAAAAGACACTGACATAAGGATCCTAAGTTAGAGAAACTATTTTTGTTCTTATTGGAATAAGAAGAGGGAGAGAATGTGTAAAATATAATCAAAATTTAGGAGGATCATCTAAGATCTCTTGACTGTACCACAGGCTCCCTTACCAAAAACAGGCTATGAAAGATGGGCTCTTTCTTGCTAATTATATGTTTCACATCCTAAAATAACTAACCACATCCATGTGGAGTATCTGCTTCTTTGTGGGGTGTGTGGGGATGGGTATGTGGGGGTATGGGTATGCCCACATGTTGTGTGGTTTGTCAGGTCACATGTTGTAAAAGGATCAAGGAGATATTGAAAGGAAACTTTTTCAATATCTGTGCATCACTCTGGGCAGTTTAATTATCCACTTGTTGAAGAATGGGAGAGAGATTTACAGGAAAAGAACTGCTCCAATAATATATACATAATATATATATTATTATATATGTAGTATGTGTATAATTACACACATATATATATATATACACAATAAAAACATCTTCATTGAGTCTTTCTCTTTCTCAGGAATGTTTCACAATAAAGTATAATACCAGTCACTGATCTCTGAAAAGGTCCAACATGGCCTTGGGACTAGTTTGACCAGGCCAGGCCATATGTTTGGGTTTTTTAAATATCTCTCTCCTAAAGAGTGAAATTCCACAACTCTGTGACCCCATGAAAGAACTAAAAATCACTTGACAAAACAGGAATTGGCTGTGCTTTTCATGTGTAAACATTCCATATTCTTTATCTACCTTCTGTAGAAATTACAACCCAAAGGTTGAACTTATATAATTTGGTTATAGATAATTTTGTGTACTGAACACTCAGAAGGAATATTATGTAATGATACTTTTCCTTCCATTTCAATCTAAAAATATATATTACTGAGTCCATTCTGCAACTGGAATCCAGCTACACATAGACTTACTTAATTTGCCTCTGGTTTAAAACAAATAAAAAAACTCTACCAGTTCCACAGCCCTAGAATTGCTTCATAAGAAAAATAGCTTTTAAAGAATATATTCAGGGGCGCCTGGGTGGCTCAGTCGTTTAAACGTCTGCCTTCAGCTCAGGTCATGGTCTCAGGGTCCTGGGATTAAGCACCACTTGGGGCTCCCTACTCAGCAGGGAGCCTGCTTCTCCTTCTCCCTCTGCCTGCCGCTCCCTCTGCTTGTGCTCTCTCTTTCTCGCTCTCTCTCTCTCTCTCAAATTAAATAAATGAAATCTTAAAAAAAATAAAAAATAAAAAAATAAAGAGTACATTCAATTTTTCACCTTCCTGCTCCTTAACTAACACAACCCCAAGACTATATATAAACTGAAACCATGAAATAAAAACATTCTTCACAAAAACTAAAAAAAAAAAAAACCTTTGTATCAAATCATCCTGGCTCTTAAAGCTTAAAGAAACCAGCTACCTGCCACCTATGTGTAACAAAGATCCCAGGCAAAAAAAAAAAAAAAAAAAAGTACCTTGTATATTCCTCAGCCCAGCAACCTCCATTTATGTTATTATTTTATACTCTGCTTCTTTTTATATATATATATGTTCTGTACTTCTTGCAATTTCAAATTTTCACTGCAATAAGAGGAAAAATGCCCAATGGAGGTTTTTGCCAGTATTTCAAAAGAAATTCTGCTCTACCCTTAGTATTCCAGAGTATCCATGCTCTGATAAGTAAGCCCATATGTGTTTCTCCTTAGGAACAGAATGTTTTGGGGCTGAGATTTCTCCAAAGGAATGAGGTGGTTTAGAGTAGAATGGACATGAATAAATATCCTTTCTTTGTTTGAGAACTGAAAATCAAGGCTTTACAAATGTCAGGAACCAGAAAGCAAGGCTGGGCTATCCACAGGAATAGTGATTTAAAGGAGGGATGGGAGGGAATTTCCAAGTGCGGACTTCCCCTATTTATGCTATTAAATTTGATTTTCTCCTGTTAAAAAAATTAAATAAAATTTAAAAAATAAAGGAGGGATAGGAAAGAGTCAATGAACTAGAAACTTAGGAATCTGAACTTTCCAAATCACACCTATATACAGATGCTCAGCTTTTGGAAGCTAGTCCCAAACACTTATCCTGTTTCTTTTTTGCTGTTTGCCTTCTCCCCAATTGACAGCCTCCATCTTTATCTGGTCTTCTCTGTGTCCTGGTGGATTCCGGCCTCTGGTTTCTAAGTTTATATGGCTTCCCAGGCTGGAATTTAGTATCTATTCTGCACAGCAAGGAAGGAAAGAAAATCTCTGCCCTCAAGGTGCTTATATTCTAGTGGGAGGAAAAAGATAATAAACAAAATAAGTAATTAAAATATAGAATATTAATTGACCATATGACAACACTGGTATATTTGAACTTTTTGACCTGCAAAAATGGCGATTTCATATGAGTCAATCTCTATATTAAATGGCGATGAATATTATTTTAAAAATGAAGTAGGGGAGAATAAGTAGTAGGGTTGATGAAGGATGAGGGCAGAGAGGCTTACAATTTAAAATAGAGCAATCCAGGGTCCCTCGGTGGCTCAGTAGGTTAAGAGTCTGACTCCTGATTTCAGCTCAGGTCATGATCTCAGGGTCCAGAGATCAAGCCCCACAGCTGCTCTGCACTCGGCATGGAACCTGTTTAAGATTCTCTCTCCCCCCTCCCTCTGCCCCTCTCTGCCCTCCTGCTCATGAGTTCCCACTCTTTCTCTCTAAAAAACAAAAATAAAAAAATAAAATAGGGCAATCCATTCCCATGGGGCACAATTATGTGAGACTGTTTTTGCTACTTTATCATTATTTTTCTAAGGAGCATGCATTCCTTTATAATGAGTTTTTTAAAACTTTATAATATCAAGCTTGCTGAAAAACTGCAATGAGTCACTTAAACATGTAAATTTTAGGGCACTTACATCAAGTAGGAATATAAGATACAAATCATATTAACACAGTCTTACGATCTATGAAATTACATTAAATACTGGGTGGTAAAAAGCATCTAATTATATATGTTTTTAAGCCATTAATTTTAAAAACAAGCAACAAATTGTATTTTAATGAGCATAGTAGAAATACAGTTTACTTTTTCTTTTTTTAAAGATTTATCTATTTTAGAGAGAGGTAGAGAGTATGTGCATGCATGCATGAGCCGGGGGAGGGGCAGAGGGAGAAGGGGAGAAAGAACTCCAAGCTTACTCCCCACCAAGCATGGAGGCCGATGCGGGGCTCAATCCCATGACTCCGAGATCATGACCAGAGCCGAAATCAAGAGTAGGCCACCCAAAGAATTTAGCCATCCAGGTGCCCCTATGTTACATTTTTTAAAATTTATGTTACATTTTTAAAATACACACAAAGAACAAACAACTCCTATTAATGGATAACCCAAACAGTTTCCACCTAAAACAATGCATTTCAGCATTTAAATGGTGAACTACAAAAATGTGAGGAGGGGAGAAATACTTACAAAAGGTATCTATGAGACAGCTTAATTAAAAAATAAACTAGGAGTGCCTGGGTTGGCTCAGTAAGTTAAGCGACTGACTCTTGGTTTTGGCTCAGGTCATGATATCTGGGCTGTGAGATCGAATCCCGTGTGGGCTTTGTGCTCTATGCTCAGAGCATCTCCTGCTTGAGATTCTCTGCCTCTCCCTCTCTGTCTGCCCCTCCCCCACTCTCTCTCTCAAATAAATACATAAAATGTAAAAAATAAAGAAAAAATGAACTAATACATGGCTTAAACATTAACATAACACAAATGGAATTATAACACTTTGTAAATAAATTCCATAAAAACTAGGATACTAGTAAGACTAATTATTAAATTAATCCATTGGACATGGCCTGGAATCTAAAAGGAAGATGTGAATTCTCCTTCCAAATACTGACTGACCCAGCTCAATAATCTATTCATATGTGCCCATTCCCCAAAAGAAATATAAACCAATACTGCTCAACAGAACCTTTTGCAGTGATGGAAATGTTCTGCCTTGTCCCATAAGGTAACCACTAGCCACACATGGCTAATGAACACTTAAAGGGTGGCTAACGAAACTGAAAAACAGAATTTCCAAAATTACATCATATTTACAGAATAATCACAGTACCCTAAATCTCAAAAAAAATGACTCCCAAATCAATGCATCTAATGCCATTTTTAGGGGTCGCACATCATGTAGCCAATCCTCTGAATCACTGAGCAAAAAGGGTAACTCTTTTCTGCCGTTCTTAAGAAAGACATTTTAATACCCAAAATATTATATTCCCAATTTACTGCATTCATAGGAACTTAGGTCAGATATATTCTTATGCAAAATATTAGAGTAAGTCTTGCCCTCCACATTAGCTTCTTAAATCTGTTACAGCTGTTCAATTTCAAATGGATATCCATTTCCTGTTATTTGCCAGACTTCATAACTTACAATCAATAGATACAAAAGTTTTAAATGTAGTCATTTAATGGATAGGGGAAGATGACGTAACATATAGTAAGGAAACAAAACCTTACAAAAGGTTATAAAAGTGGATTGAATGTGTATCTGACAAAATGAAGTACAGCTGAACCAAGACTTACTGGTTTAGCACGACATCAAGAATAAAGGATGTTCCAAAGGCATCAACCTGGAAGCTTGCCTGGTCAACATGAGTCAACTGCAATATCAAAAAGATAAAAGGTACTTATTATTCAGCCATAGCAATCAGACAATAAGCATTTCTTATGATGATTCAGAAAGGTTTATAATATTATAAATTAGAAAACCGATTCAACATGGTGATTAAATGAAGAAAAAGTAAAATCCACACCTTCTTATATGCCAAGCATTCACCAATCTGAAGTAAAGCACCACCTCATCCCAGAGGTTAAGTACCCTACCTTTCTGGTTTATCTCAAATGGCTAAACAGTTCATTTCCAAGAAGACTACATTCATTTTACTCTATATTAAATGACTGGCTCCCTTTAAATTTAAACTTTGTACATTAAAAAGGAGGGAAAAATATGTTCAATTCAAGAGTAAAATAATAACAAGGAAGATATCTAAATCTCCAAAAAAAATTTTTCATCCTACCTGAAATACATACTTTAATATTTCAGTTCTAATTTGCCAAACATAATTTTATAGAGGTTTCCACATCTTCTTAGAGCAAAACTGAATCTCTGCTATCTACTAAAAATATCGCCTATGAAAATTTGTTTGGGAAAAAAAATCACTATTTCTTATGCTAGTCTAGGAACTCCCAGAGAAAAATCACAAGGGACTCTAAAAAAAAAAGTAATGTTACCAATAACACTAATATTAACATATTGAATAATCATGTGCATTAACTGAAGAGAAGGGAACAAAACCATTTATTCTGCTTGATTCTCCAAATATTAACTGTAGCTACAGCTAAGCAGTAGGATTATGAATTAAGTTTTTTGTTTATGTTTCTCTAGTATCCAAAATTTCTAAAATAAACATGTACACTTCCAACATGAGAATAAAAGAATCTATTTATCTATTATCTATTTTATAGATAAAAACCATCTGAGCAACCGTATTTAAGTAGTATGTGAGGTAGATGGTGTTACTGTTCCCAGAGAACCAGCACATCTTAAAAAAAGAAACATCCTAGGATTCTGAGGGCCATTAAGGGCACCTCAATCATCCCTGGGATTTTCACACATAGTAAGTTTATGGTATTAGGTGAAAGGAGAGAGAGAGAGCTTAATTAATAATAATAAAGCTTTCTGGAAAGAAAAAACAATTCTTATCTTTAAAGTATTTGAAAGAAGTAGGGGTAAGAGAATGTCATACCTCAGTTGCTAATACATTCCAACTGAATCCCAAGAATGAAGAACTATTTGGATACCTCTCAGCCTCATTATTTCATTAACCATTCAACTTTAACTCTTGGTTCTTCCCAGGTAACACCCAGGCTATCACCAAACTCTGGCTTTTTTTCCTTTTTATAATTTTTGAAGCCACATCTTACTCTTTATTCCCATATCTGCCACAGATCATATTCTCCCTGATCTAAAATTGACTCTTTACCAAAATCCAAATGTAAGCCCCAGATTTTCTACTGTACCAAATACAAACTTTCTCTCCCTGGATATCAAGATCCTCCACAGACACCTCTCCCCACCCCAGACAGAATGGCACACAAGTCCCCAAGGACCCACCCGTACCCTATCCATGGTCAGTTCTCCCTTCTCTTTAATTCATCAAGCTGGGTGCATTCCAACTTTTTTTGTGGCTTTCATTCATCACTTCTGTGGAGTGCCTTTCTGAACCAGATCCTTGGATAATGATCTTCACTAAGGCCACTTCCCAGAAATGGCCCCTATCCATCCTTCAAGATGTAGCTCAAGCTCCTCTTTGTATCAACCTCTTAGGGCTGTCCTAACAAAGTACCACAGACTAGGAGGCCTCAACAACTGAAATTTACTTTCTCATAGTAAGGCTAGAGGCTGGAACTACAAGATCAAGGGGTAGGCAGATTTGGACTCTCCTGGGACCTCTCTCCTTGGCTTTTCACTGTCCTCACGTGGCCTCTTCTCTACACCTGGCCCACCCTAATGACCTCATTTAACCTCAGTTATGGCTGTAAAGGCCTTATCTCCAGAGTCACAGCAGGGGTTAACGCTTCAACACAGGAATTTTGGAGGAGACAGTTCAGTCTAAACACTCCTCTTCCTTGAAGTCTTCCCAGTATTTTCCAATCTCCTTCTCTCCTCCTCCTCAATACTGTTCACTATGATATGAGGGCCTCAGGACTGACCAGCATCAGGTACTCAGTAAGTATTTCCTGATTGACTCATTTGAGGGTTTATTTTATCAGTCACCTGGATACATAAACAAACAACAATGGAACAGCTATAAATTACCTGCTTACAGAAATGCACTCCTTCCATCAAGGTTGTTCTTAACGCCACGTCAGTGGATAATGTCTTTACTTTTGTCTAAAAGCTTTCTGAGTTTCCAGAAGTGCTAACAACCATGTTTTGGAACAGCCTGAGGAAAGCGCTGCTTCCCAGCACTGATGTCTCCATGAAAACCTCTCTTCTCTCCATTCTTTCTTGGTACTTAATGGGGTTGAACCGGGCAGAGGCCCCATGTTACTCATCATGGTATCCTGATTCAGTGTAGGGATCAAGATAACATTACCATTCTTTTTCAGCAAGATACTTACTGTTTATATTAATTTCATCTAATTCTTACATTTTGTTTTTCCTGCAGCTTCAGTTTTAAAACATCTCATATCTTATTTTATTGATCTTGCATGTGTCCCAAAGAGAAACGCATTACTTAAATTCAAATCTACTGACAGCAATGTTTTACTGCTGTTTAGTAAAAAAAGTTTGCATTATTGATAGTAATAGGAACAACAGTATATTAATATTGTTTTAATCTAAAGCAAGCTTCCTTAGTCTGTATACAGAGTGATTCACTCAACAAATATCTTCTGAGAGTCTAGCAAGTGCTGGGAACTATTCTGATTTGGTGAAGAAAATAGACCATGTTTCTCTGTTAGTGGAGCTCATTTTCTAGGGGCAAGACACAGAAAGTGACAAACAAAATGACAGAAGATGAACAATAAAAAATAAACTGAGAAAATAAATACAGTATTCCCAGATTTAAAAAAATAAGGTAAACAGAAGACCAGGGTGGATGGGATTCTAGGTGGTCCTGGAAGGCTTTGGAAGGAACTGGCATCTAGGTGACACATGAATGACTAAAAGGAATCTGTAGTAGACAGAATAATGACCCTATGGATGCCCACACTCTAATCCCCGGGACCTATGAACATGTTACCTTACATAGCAAAAGGGAATTTGCATATGTGATGAATTTAAGGATCTTGAAATGGAGAGATTATCCTGGGTTATCCAGGGGGGCCCAATTTGTAAGACCAGAGTCTTAGAAGGGTCAGAGAAGGAGATGTGATAATGAAAATAGAAATTAGAATAAGGTGAGGCAAAAGCCATATGTCAATGAATACTGGGAGCCTCTAGATACTGGAAAAGGCAAGGAACAACTCTCCCCTAGAGGAACACAGTATTGCCAACACCTGCATCTTAGCTTTGTAAAACCCATTCCAGGCTTCTAATCTCCAGAACTGTAAGAAAATTAATTTTTGTTGTTTTATAATTTAAGTTTGTGGTAATTATTACAGCAGCAATGGGAAACCAATACAGCATCACTGGCAATGTTCCTCAACATTTAGAAAAGCAGTTCCCATAAAGAGCTGATTTCACCAGTGGTTCAATGTCATTCTCCTACATGGATTGGTTAAAACCAAGGCGCTCACAGCTGTAGCTCAGACATCCACGAAGGCACAAGGATCAAACTCCAAACACAAGGCTGCCCAGCCAAACCAAACTTGCAGTGGTGACTGCTAAAATAAATGTTAGCATGGCATCCTTGCATTCTGTGTGGCCTTCTCTCTTTCCAGAATCTGCCTTCCCCATGTTTGACTTAAAAAGCAGGCCAAAGAGAACAAACACGTTTATGTCTTTAGGTTATCCTGGAGGAACAATTAAGTAGAATTTAACTGACTTCATGCTATATTAACAATCTAGCTTCTTAGCCAACACCATCAATGGGAGCCAGGATGGTTCTCAGAAAGTTAATCTTAGATCCTGCCTTTTTAGTTCAAAGGAAAAGGAAATGTTTGAGAAGAGAGAACTAATATATATCAGGATTTTCCTCTTTGGGGGGAGGAGGTATGCTAACATATATTGCCAAACAAAAATTCTAATACTTATTAACTTTCATTTGAATGTTAAAAGGTAGTAATGGCTCTCAGAGATATGTAAAAAGCATAATTTTGCAGAAATGCATTCTTTCAAATTACTACATAAGAATGATTTGCGATTTTGGGGGCATCTGGGTGGCTCAGTTGGTTAAATATCTGCCTTCAGCTCAGGTCATGATCCTGCAGTCTGGGAATCGAGCCCCGCATTGGGATCCCTGCTCAGCGAGGAGTCTGCTTCTCCCTCTGCCCCTTACCCAGCTCGTGTTCTCTCTCTCTCTCTCTTTCTCTCAAATAGATAAAATCTTAAAAAAAAAAAAAAATGACTTGCAATTTTGAAAACTATTAATCAAACGCTTCAGTATCATACAATAATATGGAGAAAACTCTTAAAGCTCATATAATACAACATCTTTATCTTACAAATAAGGAAAGAGGCCATTGTGGGCAAATGTCATTTGCAAAGTCACACTTCTTGGTAGAAGAGGCTGTTCACAGCACGCTTCATCCCAGCTTTCATTCTGCAACTTGGAGGTGCTTGCAGGTTTTACTGAGTTCTTAGGAGTAATATTATAATAGGAACATTTTTAGAGTCATTAAAATGCTCTAAAGAGCATTTTTAAAGCATATGAAATGAAATTAAATGATGAAAAACAATGTTTAGAACTCTGTTTTCACCAGAAAAGTCAATAGCGTTACCACATCTGACACAGAGCACATGTTCTGAGGCAAATTTGATTAAAACCTACGAAATTAAGAATTAGTTTAAAAGTAGACATGGAAATCCATCTTTTAATGAAAAAAAGTTACACAGACATGGTAAAGTGTGTGAGTGTATGCGTGTGTTTTAAGGACTGAGGCTGACATCGAAAGGAGCTGTGAAACAAAAGATTGAGGGAAAAACATGGGAAGA